ATCCTGCATCCTCTTCCCAAGTCCCCAGGGCCCTGGCCTCCTCTCCAGACAATGAAGCTTGACGGTGAAGCAGACATCTCTGAGGGGGGCAAGAAGGCACATCTTGCTTACGTTACAGTGATCCTTCAGTGCAAAAAGGAGGAGGAAGCCCCCTCAGATAACCACAGTGGAGTCTGCCTGAGCACAGCCTCCTCCCCATCCCCAAGTCGCCTGCTGACTTCACATGCCCTTCATGACTCTGCTCGCCCCCAACCTTATCCCTGGAGAGAAGGTAGTAGCAGGAAAATAAAGGTGAAGAAAGTGGATCACTCACTCCCATTCAGTTGATGCCAACACCCCCCTGTGGGTTTCTGAGACTAACTGTTGATGGGAGTAGAAAGCCCAGTCTTTCTCCTTCTGCTGGTTTTGAACTGCCAACCCTGTGGATTCGCAGACCAGCACTCCTGGAGAAACTGGATAAGAAGCTGGAAAAGGTAAGAACTGGAAAAAAATAAATGGAGCCGAGCAAGACAGCAGCCACTAACTAGTGCCCGAAACAGGGCAGAGCAGAAGGCCCTGCTGGAGCACGTCAGCAGCTAGAGAGGGAGGCAGCTCAGGAGAGCCAGTGCCCACCTTCCAGGGCACGAGCAGGGCCCTGAGGCAGGGAGTCAGGAGCAGGTGCTTCTGCATAGGTTTTTGCCAGAGCTGTGTTGTAATCAATTACTTTGTATTCAAAGTAAATAAAGAAACAAACAAAAGAAGTCAAACTTCTCTCCCACAGCTGCTCACTGCATGCATTCTAACTGGTAACTCACCCTTTCTCCACCCTTCTAAAATATACTTTCCGACAACAGGCTTTGCTAACTCCCTTCTGTGAGAGGACTATTTCTAATGATTGCCCAAGCCACTGGACTCCACTAGGGCACCTGTCCAGAGCCCAGAGAATCTATGCATTAGTGCAGGACTCGGCCCGAGAGCTGAGTCTCTGACACGTGCTGATTGCAGGGGGCCTGGCCGGCTAAGGGCTCAAGTGCCCCGAGCTCATTCTCCCTTCTTGGGACTGCAGACCAGGGTGGGGCTGCCCTCCTATTAGGTTTCTCGGGTAGAAAATACCTTGGTGCTTGGCTTCACATGAGAAAGAATTCTCGCTGGAACCTGGTTTGTGATCAATGTGGGTTTTTATAAAGGGCGGAAGAAGTTTCAGGTGTTAGAGTCACTGAATGCACACGACCTTGTGGGACTGCCCACCCACATGTGGTAGCCTGGGGCCAGAGAGATGGTGACAGGGCCAAGCGGGCACAGAACAGCAGCCGGAGGGCAAAGAAGAAGGGCCGAGGGTCTCGAGGTTGGGGGAGTTGAGACTTCTGGCTGGGAGGCGTGGTCGAAGGTCTTGGTTGACCCCATTGACTGAATTAAGCCCACCTGGGCCTAGTTGGACCGCCAGGTGTGCAGCCCACCTGGCTCGGGCTAGAACTGGCGCATGTCCAGTAGTCTTCATGGCTGGCTAAGACTAAGGGCTCGCCTGATTCTCTGCAGCAACCTCCTGTAAGGCGGGGGTGGGCTTCAGGCATGGAGAGGGACAACCCCGCTGCCCCTGCCTCTTCCTACCTAACACTTCCAGATGCCCCCCTGGCCTACTTCCAGTTCCCAGCAGAGAAGGTCTCTGCAGCAGAGGTCAGCAGGGGACAGGATGAGGCATTCCAGAAGCAGAGACCTTTGTCACCTCCACATCTGCTGTGCCTGCCTGGTAGCACAGGCAGCCTCTGCAGAAGTCTCAGTCTCCACCTCTATCCTTCAGTCTCATTTTCTCCCTCAGTCCCCTTCACTTAGCTTCTGTCCCTTCCTCCCTCTTTTGTCCCTTCCTTCCTTGTTTCTCTCCTCCTCTTCCCCTCTCCCCCTACGCCACCTCCTGGCTGTTTCTCCGCGCTTCACCCATCACCTTGGCCTCTCTCCTCCCCTTCACAGGGAGAAGGGACCAGAAGGGCTTCCGGGAGGGGGTTGCTCATCTTCTCGGGCACTTCCGACGTTCAGCCGTGAAATCTGTGGATTTCACAGTGGAACAATGGAACATACTATCTCCACAGGAGAAACATGAGGTCGTCTGCTCTCAGAAAGGTTTAAAATCTCAGAAACCCAGAGGGGGCAGTTCTGCTTTGTTTTACAGACTCGACTCAATGGCCGTGGTTTTTCAGATCTAGTAGTGACCTGCCCATTGCAGGAGGCAATCAAATGAGACAGGGTGATGTAGAATGTATAAGGCTGATTTCCTCCATGGCCCTGAGATCATCCTGATCTGCCATTCAAGGTGCTTTCAGGAACCCTTGTGTATTTAAAACCATAGAAGCTCGGCGTCAATGCAAGCACAAGTATGCTTCAAAATAAAAGTTGCTCTTGTTTTTATGGGGAGAAGTGTTGTTGTAGGCCCCAATACCTAGAGATCAAGCCCAACAGAACAAAGCGCGGCCCAGTCCTGCACCATCCCCACGGTTGCTTGTGACTCAGACAGTGTTCCATTGTGATGCATGGAGTTTTCAAGGGTTGGTTTTCACCAGGCTTTTCTTTCTAGTCTACCTTAGTCTGGAGACTCCATCGACGCCTAGTTCAGTATCTTCCAGCAGCACACCAACCTCCCCTGGCAGATGGGTGGTGGCGGCTCCCTGAGGTAGCTTGCCTGGGAATTGAACTTGGCTCTCCTGCACGTACCATGAGCATTCTACCACTGAGCCATCCACTGCCTCTGGAAGAAATAGTGCCTTCTTTATGATTTTTAGTATATGTTAAATCTATTTTAATTTTAAAAGCAACATAATTATGCCAGTCAATTTTAGGAAACAGGTTCCAGAAGGGAAAAAAACGTTGCTGATTCCATAGCCTTGTTATGGCCATGGTGTGTGTTTTGTGGCTTCCTCCCAGCCTTTTCCTTCGATCAGTTGCATTCACAAGTGCGTGCAAGCCGTTCTGCATGCCGTCTTGACAGCATTCTTCCCAGCTCCACCCAGGAGCATTCTTACCTAGCACCACCTTTGTAGTTTTTCGCGACCGCTCAGTGCCCCGCCGAGTGGATGAACTGTGTGTGCTGTAGCCGCTGTTCTGAAACACACTTTGTATGAATATCTTCAAAGATAGATCATTAAAAAGCCAGGCGAAGACAGCACACCGCCCTGTTCTCATCCACCTTGTAAAGGAAGAGTGTTCCCCCATGCTCCTGGAAGGAGGGAGCGCGTGCGCTTTCAAAAGCCCAGATGTGTGCTAAGAACAGTGGTGGGGGCTCTTGTGTTGTGGTTATTGAGTCACCACGAAGACGCTTCAAAAAGCTCATGGAAAAAAGCCCTGGCCTTTCCATTCCGTTTTCCCACACGCTTCGATGCCTGCGCCATGCCACAGTCATTTGTAGATGGGACTGCCGAGATCCTCAGCGTGTCCTTCGCTTGGTCTTCACAGGTAGCTCACTAGGCCTTTGGTCCCAGGCTTGCTTCTCAGCATCATAGTACACACCGATGACAGACAGCTGGTGGCCGTGCATGCCATCCTGTTTGATCATCGGTTAAGTCAACCTCTTATGATCACAAAGTGCCGGTCGTCATCCTGTCTTACGGACAAGAAAGGGTAGGCCCAGAAACACTGGCTTTGCAAGTCGCAAGGCTCCTTGGCTTTGTGGAGGCCAGGGTGCCAGAGTGCCTGTGGGACCTGCCTGACTCCCAGCCGAGGGCTGTCTTGTGCTCAGGCCTCTCAACCTTTGCGTAATAAGGCCTCTGGGGGTTTCAGGATTTCCATGGCGCTGTCGTGAGGACCTTGGATGAAATGGACCAAGAGGGCAGGGACCCATTATCCAGAGAGGCGCTGAGGCTGGGCCTGAGCCTCCTCCCAGCTATCCACGACCTTCACCGAGGGATGCTGGAGGAGCTAGAGCAGAGGCTAGAGCACTGGTGAGCATATCCCCGATACCCACCCACCCTACCCCCACCCCAGTCCTGTTGTCCTGGAGGGCAGAAAGCCAAGGAGCCACCACTGCCCATGAACTGGGCTCCAACTCCTGGTGACCCCGCCGTATCAGAGCAGAGCTGTGCTCCAGCGGGTTTAGGGGACGGACTTCCCTGCAGCAGATCTCCAGGCATTTCTTCCGAGATGCCTCTGGATGGACTCAAACTTACAACTTTTTCATTAGGAGCAAGTCTGCTGACTATTCGCACTCCCTAGGGACTCCTGTTGTGAGGCAGACAGGCTGGTAAAAGCGTGGCCCTGTCAACCTCAAGGTTGGCAGTTCAAACCCACCAACCTCTCGAAAAGAAAGATGAGGTTATTGTACCCGTAAAGATGTACAACCTCAGAAATCCTATCTAGGGTCACTGTGAGTTGGAATCGACTCAGTGGCAGTAGGTTTGGGGGTTGTTTTTGGTACGTGACGTGTCTCCGTTTTACTGATGGGAAAACCAGACAGAAAAGTGCTATGTCATTCGCCCACTGTGGAAAACACACTGGAAAGGTAGAGCTGAGGTTTGCACCGTCTCTCCAGCTGCTGTGTTGAGTGGACTCCCAGGTTGAGTACTCTGTCCCCTCCCCGGCAGGGAGGGCCAGCAGAAAGTGGCTGACATCTTCCTGGCACGGGAGCTGGAGTTTGAGGCCCACGCGACTCACATCCTGCAGTTCGACAGGTTCCTGGGTCTGCTCAGTGAGAACTGCCTCCACTCTCCACGGCTGGCAGTTGCTGTTCGAGTATTCGAGGTGGGTCCCCCACTTCTCTGAGAGACCCTACCCATTGGGCGTAAGAGGGGCAGTGGGCACTGAAGGGCTTAACACACACGGGCAGAGCAGCCAGCCGGACCACGGCCGTGGGGTTGGAGAGTCACCCGTATTAGGAGGGAAAAAGGGAACCAGGACAAGGACATCCTCTGCTGGGCTATGCATGACAGCTCGGTGACCTCAGCCACTGAGAGTCTTTCTGGCAGTTCTTCTGTCTCAGAAGAGAAGCACAAGTCAACCGAGGGTCCCATACGCTAGCACCCACTCTCTGGGGCTTTGCTCTCTTGCTAAACCTCAGAGTGAAGCCAGGACCTGCAGGGAGGGGTACTGGCACCAGCTGTGAGCCTGAAGAAATTCGTGGTCATGTTGTGCCGTGGCTGATCTGAGGGGGCTCTCTAGGGGTGAGGGGCTGGGGTGTGGGGACCTAGACTTGAAGGTGGGGAGAAGCTAAGGTTAACCAGGAAGACATAAGGGAACGGTGGAGGGGAATCCCCTGAGCCTGGGGCCTAAGACGGGACTCTGTTGGGGCTTCCTTCCCCTCTCTGAGAGCAGCAGAGTCTGCAAGACCACGACCAGAGCGTGAAGCACCGGCTGCTGAGAGTGGTCCAGCGCCTCTTCCAGTACCAAGTGCTCCTCACAGGTGAGCCCTGCAGGTGCAGGAGGGCATGCTCCACAGAGGGGCAGGGGGAGGGGGCCACCGAGGAGGCGGTGGAGATGAAAGGTGTGTGATGGTGATCTCCGTGACACAGGCTAGTGGGGAGGGGAAGGTGGCCTTCCCGAGGCACTCCGTGCTGCCTCTAACTTCCCTTCCAGGTCAGCCAACATGGAAATCCCCACGGCAGTGGTGACCGACTCTGTACTGTCAGCCTTGCCCAGCCTCGACCTCCCTTTTCTGCACCCCCCCCTGCCTCAGCAGGTGTCTCATTTCACTGCAATCACTCTTGTCAAAGTCACCAAAGCCCTCTTTGCTGCCAAATCCAGTGGACAGGGGAGTCCTGGGCTTGCTGAATCTCTGAATGTGCAGCGTTAGCACCGACCACTGCTGCTGCCTGCAGCCCTGCCCTCCAAGGCTGCTTGAAAGCACTCACTCGGGACGTTCTCCAGCCTCCCAGGCGGCTCTTCCTTCTCCGTTGATGGCCTTTCTTCCTCCCCTTCCTTGTCAGGGTGTCCCGAAAATCCACACCCTAGGGCTCAATCCTAGCACCATTTTCCTTCCCTCACCACGAACTCTCCCCAGTGGGGGAATCTTCCCCTCTTCAAGAAGTCCACCCGCCAAAACACCTAGACCTCTGTCCTGAGCTATTGGCCCTCTTGCCCAGTGGGCTCCCAAAGGATAGAACTGACACTTGTGCAGGGGAGACGAGCGGCACACACCGGCACGAGCATGCAATGCCAGGTCAACACCCGAGAGCAGTGGTCCTCCACCTCCCTAACACCGCGACCCTTTCATACAGTTCCTCGTGTGGTGGTGACTCCCCCAACCATAACATTATTTCCATGGCTACTTCATCACTGTCATTTTGCTACTGTTATGAATTGGGCGACCCCTGTGAAAGGGACATTCGACCACCAAAGGGGTCACGACCCACAGGTTGAGAAGCGCTGCACTAAAGCAAGGGGACAAACAATCCATTTCTCTAATTTGACAAAGACTTACTGAACACCTACTGTGCACCGGGCTTCATTCCAGAGCTTGTATTCTAGTGGAGGAAACAGACCAATGAATAAGGAAACAAAAAGGGCAGTAAATAAGAAATCTTGAAGAAAAGTAAGCCAGTTAAGGTGGCGGAGAAGATAGGAGCAGGGTTGCTGTAGTCAACAGTGATCGGGGAAGACCTTTGAGGGGGGCGACACTGAAAAGAGAATACAGGGAAGGAGGGTGTGGGCCATAGGGAGAACTGAAAGAAGGGAGGGCCAGACAGAGAGAATGGCAAGTGCAAAGGTCCTGGGGTAAGAGCAAATGGGGCATGCCCAAGGAATAGCAAGAATGCCCTGTGACTGGGATGGAAGCAGCAAGGTGATATTTGGAAAGGGTCAGACCGTGTAAGGCCTGGTAGCTCAAAGTGTGCTCCAGCTTAGCCATCCACACGCTCCTGTGTGGATTACCGTGTCTGTCTCCCCAATAGTGTGTTTTCCAGGAGGCTGATGTCCTACAGGCAATAGCACACGTGCAGGCACTCAGTAGGCATTTGTTGAGCTCACAAATGACTAGCAGAGAAGGCAGCGACCCTGCTGGTCCTGGGGGCCAGCCTGGTACGATGCTAGTGTGCAGTGTGATAGGGCTGACAGGAGTGGGGCAGTGGACGACTCCTTCTTTTGGAACTTCCATCTCCAGAATGAGAAGGGGTGGACAAGAGGGACTCGTGAGGGCATAGCTAATTCCTGGCTCTTGTTCTACCTACAGACTATTTAAATAACCTCTGCCCGGACTCAGCTGAGTACGAGAACACTCAAGGTAAGTTAGGCATGGACTGGAGGAAGAGGAACCCTTCCTAATTACGGACCGTCTCCCCACCTCTGCCCCTAGACCAGTTCTCAGGCCCAGACAGGCTGGGTGTATTCTGGAGACGAGTCCCCAGGTCTTTGGAGGAGATTCTCTCTTCACGTGTACCACGAGAAGTCTCTGGCTGATGTCCAGTAAGACACGGAGAAAGAGGTGACCCCACTCAGTGGTAGGAGGTGTTTCCAGTTCTGAAAAGCACACTCCGACTCCTTATCGCTTCCCAATTCTGTGGCTATTCCTGGAGGACCTACTTGTTGGGGAAGTTCCCCTCTTAACATATTCAGTGTGCATTCAGGAGAGCGGGAGTGCAGCGTGGCCTAGACAGTGACCTGACCTTCCACGGGGAAGCTGGCCATCGCGTACAAGGTCCTGCAGCCACAGCAGTGTCGGAGAGGGCTGCGGAGGAACAGGCAGGGAAGAGGCAAGGATGGTGACGCTGGGCTGGCCTTCCTTACACAGCCTGGCTGTCTGCTCTGCTTCCCTCTGCAGGTGCACTGGCCCTCATCTCCAAAGTCACAGGCTGCGTCAACGACAACATGGAGCAAGGGGTAGGTCATGCCGATTCGCACCTCTTTCCGGTGCCAGTTCCAGGGCCCTCCTTACACCTAGCCCTGGGTCTGCCTTGGGGTACCCAACTTCTTGGGGCTCCTAAGACCTTGCAAAGAGCCATGGGTTCTGGCATGACATCTGTTGTGTGCTTTCTGGTGTGGAGTGTCCTTTCCTGGGTCTCAGGTTCACCATTTAAATAATGAGGGTGGCTACCGGCTGGTACTGACTCCCTAAGTGCTGCCCAGATAGGTCTGAGACCACCTGCACTGGCCCCTGGAGTGCCTTGTACCCTTCAGATTCCTAGAAAGACACTTCCAGACTGTCCAGTCAGAATCTCTGGGGATGGAGTCTAGGGGTAAGCATTTTCAACAAGCACCACAGGAAAATGTAACACCATAGAAGTTTGCGCTTCACTGCGGTCTGTGGCCTCTCGAAGCATGCCTAATTCTGACAGTGTGTCAGGCCGTAGGGTCCACCAAGGTGTCCACCAAGGATGGCAAGCTTTATTCCACATGCCAACTCCAGGTCCAAAAGTACTATCAATGTTTTTAAGCCCTTTATTAAATATATTAAAATGTGAAGCTACTGGTTTAGCTTTTGAAGGCACTGTTTCCCTTTCTCTAAGCCCCGAAGAATCCTGAGCAATTTGATTAGTCCCTCGTCTTGTCATGTTCTGCAGTGTCTTTCTCAGAAAAGGTGTTTTTTATTTTAATGAATTCCAACGTATCAATCTTTTAGAGATTGTTCTTTTTGAAAATTCAGTGCCTAACTACTCTCCTATGATACACTTTCCAGTGTATCACTTTGCATTTAATATTCAGGTCTGCGATCTGTTTTGAGATAATGTTTATGAAAGGGATATGAACTCGAGGTCTAGATGCATGTTTTACATGCCTAGTTACTCCATCACTGTTTGTTTAAAAGACTATCCTTTCCCCATGGATTGTCTTGGTTCTTTTGTCCAAGACAATTGACTATGTTTGTGGGGATATAATTCTGTGACTGATCCCTCCCATTGATCTGTTTGTTCTTTCATCAGTACCATGCTGCCTTGATCACTGCACCTTTATAGTGACTATTGAAGTTAAGTATTGTCCAGCCTCCAACTTTGTTTTTCAGTATTGTGTTGGCTGTTCCGGATCATTTGCCCCTCCATGTAAACTTCAGACTCGGTGTGTCAAGATCTATAGAATAACTTGCTGGGATTTTGATTGTATTGCAGTGGATCTGCAGATCATATTGAGAACTGATATTTGAAAATATTGAATCTTCTTATCTTCATTATTGAAAGATACTTTATCCTGGATATAAAAATCTCAGGTCACAATTATTTTTATTTCAGAACGTTATAGATGCTATTCCATTGACTCCTGGCTTGAATAGTTTCTGATAAGCCTGCTTAGCTTTTCTTTTTCTCTTTCTTTGTGAAATCTGACCTTTTCTGGCTGCCTTTAAGATCCTCTCTTTATATTTGATTTCCAGTACTTTGGTTTTAATGCACCTAAGTGTGTGGCGTGGGTGTGGTTTTTTGCTTGTTTTGTTTTTGTGAGTGGAGAGAACAGTGTTTGTCTCCATTGATTTTCAAAATTCCTTTGTTAATTTTGGAAATTCCCAGTCATCTCCTCATCTGTTTATCATGCTTCGTTCTTTTCTTTTTGTTCTGGGATTCCAATTACACCTATGTCAGATTATTTCTTATTATCCCATTGCTCTTGGATGCTCTATTCTTTTCCCCCTTACTCTTTGTGTCTTGGTTTGGATAATAATCTCTACTGACTTATCTTCAAGTATATTGATTCTTTCCTCTGCTGTGTTCAGATTGCTGTTAAACCTGTCAGCAGAATTCATTTCTGACATATTTTTTATTTATAACATTTCCACTTGACTTTATTTTTTATAGTTCCCCGCTTTTTTGACATTTTCCACCTGTTTATATATACTGTTCACTTTTTCTACTATATTCTTTCAAATGTTTCTCCTCCTTATTCTGAAGCCCCTACCTGAAGATTCCAACATCTTTCCATCTTTATTTGATGAATATTTTGTCTCTTGACAATAAGTTTGTTGTTGTTGCTGTTGGATTTTGGTGGAGGTTTTTATTTGTTGCTGGGTTTTTTGTTTTGCTGTTTTTGTTCCTGTAAGTTGTTTCTATGGAGTGCTAGACATCATCGCTTCTCGGGGCCTCTGGGCTAAGATCGAGTGTGTGAGTGCTGGACATTGTTAAGTAGAACTGTTGCTGTTAGGTGCATGCTGTCAAGTCACTTCTGGCCCACAGAGTCCCTGTGCACACAGAATAAGACACCCTGAGCCCTGCACCATCCTCACAATTGTTCTTATGTTTGAGCCCCTTGTTGAAGACACTGTGTCAATCTTTCGCATCACGGGTCTTCCTCTTTCTTGCTGCCCCTCCACTTTACCATGCATGATGACTCTCTAGGGACTAGTCCCTCCTGATAACATCGCCAGAGTACATGAGACAAGCGTCTCACCATCGTTGCCTCCAAGGAGCATTATGGCTGTACTTCTTCCAAGATTGATCTGTTTGTTCTTCTGTGAATATTCTTTGCCAGCACCATATTCAGATGCACCGGTTTTTCTTCTGTCTTCCTTATTCAGTGTCCACCTTTTACATGTATAGGAGGTGATTGAAAGCACCGTGGTTTGGGTCAGGTACACCTTAGTCCTCAAAGTGACATCCTTGGCCTCAACATTTAGAAGAGGTCTTCTACAGTAGATTTACCCAATGCAACGTGTCCTTTGTTTTCTTGACTGTTGATTCCATGAGCACTAATTGTGTATCCAAGCAAAATGAAATACGTAACTTCAATCTTTTTTCTATTTATCATTATTGGTCCAGGTGTGAGGATTTTTTATTTTCTGTACAGGTTGTTGCCAAAGGACTGTAGAGACTGATAACTAGCACTTATACTAGAAATGGTTCGCATTAGTATGGGGGCTTGAGTCTATCTAATCAGGAGTTTAACCAGGTTTGGGTTTTGCTCTTGCCTTCCATGTACCACAGATGCCATGTTCCTCTAGCAGGGAACTACTGTGGTGCTTTGGGTTCAGGCACCAGGCTGCTAACCACAAGGTCAGCAGTTCAAACCCACCAGCCACTCTGTGGGAGAAAGAAGAGACTGTCTGCCCCAGTCAAGATTTACAGTCTCAGAAAACCAATTTGATATGAGTTCAAATCAACTCGATGGCAGCAGGTGGCTGGTGCAGGGAGTTTCTTTAATGTTCCTGCTCCATCCTCCGCTCTTAACAGTCTCTGTACCATAGAAGGGGTCTCTTCCATGTTGCCACCCCTCTCAGAGATAGACGACTATGTCATGTTATCAGTGCTCAGCTTGTGCCCGGCGCCAGGGAGATTTCTCAGTTCTCACGGACAAGCCTTAATCTTAAGCAGGGCCAGTGAGCCAGGTTTTCTCAGCTTTCAGGCCCCACCCCTCCATGGCAGCCAAAAGGAGCCTTGTCTTGGATCATGTCTGCCCCTCCCCCAGCAGTAACTGACCTGTTTCGTTCTGGGCCAACGGGATTTCCTCTCACCTATATGAACAAATCACTTTTCCTTCTACCTTTTCTCCAGAGGCTTGAAATCTTTGCCGAGGTTCTGGGGGTGGGCATATTTCCTGACCCTCCCCAGTGACTGATGGTGTTTTGCTTTGTATGAAAGAGGGCTGTGGGAAAGGGCGTGAGGTCCTGTGCCAGCCATTCAGCCACAACCCACATGCCTACCTCACCAAAGGGGGCTCTCACTGGCCTCCTTCCCTGCCCCCAGTCATCCTTGGGAGCAGCAGGTGAAGACTCTCAGAAAAAAGCTTGCAAATGAGGACAGATGTGATGTCTCTCTTGCCCGCACTCCCTGGTGTTCTAAGCCATCACGCTAGCCCACACTTGACCTTTCTGAATTCATTAACATTTCAGCTGCTTTCTTCTCCCTTTCTATTATGCCAGCCACCTCTTCCTCCTGGGTGTCACCAAAGGGGCGACAGTCCTATCCTGGGGTCTTTTTGGAGAGACTTGTCATTTACTGACATTCAGTTCATTTGGTTGCCCAGTAACCTCAGCTCTGCGATTGGCTTAAGCAAAATTATGCTTTTGTAGAGTATCTGCCTTTTTCTCATTGCTAACATGGGAGCAGTGTTCTCTTGCAGCTCTGTGCATCATAAGCAGAAGCAAACCTATTAGATATGTTGGAATGTGTACGATTTTAAGCTCAAAACCCTGGACAACATAAAAGATGTTTTTCAAGGTGACTTCTCCACACCCAATCTTATCTTTCTAGCTGATGTGAGCACCCAGACCCTGAGGAAGGCTCAAGGGGTGCCTGTCCCACGGGGTCTTACAAAGCACATCAGTTTGTAGCAGAGCACTTGGCACACAGTGGGTCTTCCTGGCATTGATAGTTGCTATTGGTGTTCTAGAGAAGAGATGTGCAGAGAGGAGATGGAGGGGTGCTGCCGTGCGCACACTGTGTGCTTTCTAAGAGAGGAAAGGCTACCATGTTACATACTGCACATAAGCCAACAGTGGACCAGCACAGCGTTTCCCGGCACACGTACATTTCTAACATTTCTAACCGTGGGGCCCCAAGAGGCACAGACCCGGCTTCTCGGGGGCGGTACATTGTGTCGTTTGCTCCCTCTCTTGGAAGCCCGCAGACAGGCTGACCTCGGGCATCTGTTGGCTCTGGTAGTAAAGTCTGAAGCTCCAGGCCTTATGAGGGACACAGACATGAAGTAGGGTCAGGGGCCCAGAGACAAACAAGGGAGAGAGGCCAATTGACCCCTCCATGGCACACAGAAAGGCAGTGGTGCCAGGACAGGTCTGATTGTGGACAGCCCAGAGCTCCTGACAGGAGGTGGGATTTGGGGATGACTTTTCTGGGCTTTATTTCCTTCCTCTGAAATAGAAGCAAAGTTACCCTTTACAGTACAGGTAGGACCTCTTGGCCTGATCATCTCCCCTTCTCCTGCCTGCAGGAAAACCTGCAGAAACTGGTCCACATTGAGCACAGTGTCCGTGGCCAAGGGGATCTCCTCCAGCCAGGAAGGGTGAGTGCCACCACCTCTGTGGGCAGAGGGCGGCAGGCTGGTAACCGGGTGAGGCTCTGATAAGCTCCATTGTTCAGCTGGGCTGGCCCCAGACAGGCCTGGCTGCAGGTACTGTTTCCCTGCAGAGGGTGGGAGGGGTGACCGCACTGCTGGGCTCACCCAGACACATGGGCTGCCCTGCTGGCGTTTTCCACACATACGTCTGCTCTCTGGGCATTCCTGTTGGGGTCAGTGCTCGCAGGAGTTACTGGGGAATCAGGAAAACTCTCTCTCAAGAGCCCCCAACAAAGCACATGACAAAAGAACATTCTTCAAAAGAAATTTACCCTTTTAAGCTGCAAGGAGAAAAGATAAAACTTACCTCCATAAATAGTCCAAAATGTGCCCATTACCTGCTGTAGCCCATGAAGGACCCGAGATGAAAGGTAGAGCTCAGATTTACTCAACATTAGCCTGGACTTCGCTGGCCGCAGACATTCTGACCTGGGTTATCTATTAGTTCATTCAATATATAGCATCCCCTGTGAATTGAAATCAAACTAATAGCAGTGGGTTTGGCTTGGTTGGTTTGTTTTATATATCCTCCAGAATTAGAGGATGTGCAGCCACTTTTCCCAGGCTTTCAGCTGTTTTAACAAACCTCTACATGGTGACGAACCAGGGAGGGAGTTATTGTTCGGACCACCCAGAAGAGCGTCCGAGGCTTGGTACAGGATGTGGCCCAGTGCTCCTGGAAGGCCCAGATGCCTCACTCTTCAGCTACTGCTCTCGAGCACACCGAGCAGCTCTCCTGAGCTGGGCATTCGCCCCCCAGATGGTCTCTAATACCTTGGGGAACAGCATCATTTCAGTTCTCCACTGGAGGGCCTCCCTTCCCTGTGTCTGGCAGCAAGGAAGAAATGCTGCCCGCCCCACTTCCTTGGGAAGGCTCAGGGAATCAGCCTTGGCACTGAGCCCTGCTTCTCTCCCCACAGGAGTTTCTGAAGGAAGGGACGCTGATGAAAGTGACGGGGAAAAGCAGACGCCCCCGGCACCTGTTTCTGGTAAGTACCTGGCTTTCACGCCATGTCCCGGGGCTGTCAAGTTCTGTGACCCTTTCTGGGGCCAGCCCTCAGGCTCACTGGAAGGAGGAAGACTAGAGCAAAGGGGAATCATCAGTGAGCACCATTCAGCACCGCGAAACTTTCCAGAAGACCAAGAAACGAACCCTTGGAAACCACAAAGCAACATTCATTTGCTCTCTGAATGATTTTGAGTGGAATTTGGCTAAGACTTATTTACCTTATTTCTCTGCCCTCGACAACCGAAAACCAGGAACCACTCAATGGGTGGGAAAACAAGGCCCAGAGAGGAGAAGTCCATTTGGCCCCGTCCCTAACAGGTTGTTGGTCCAGCCTCAGAAGGAAAGCCCAAATGACCACCTCGGTCCAGCACTCTCCCCTTCGCAGGCGACTGAGTGCTGTCTGACATTGTTGGTGGTTTTCAGGCAGCACCTTGAATATCAGGGACTGACTGTGAACCCATGCTCAGTCTCAGTGACCGCTGATGCCTCAAGCCCATGGCCCCACGTTGCTGTGTTTATAAATTCTTCTCTCTGCTGAATATCATTTTTCTCTTCACTCCTCACGTGTGGCTGCCTTTCTTAGTTACTTGTCAGTAGTGACAGCCTGTAATATCCGCCTCAGGCTCTGCATCTGCTGGAAGCTGCCCGTGAGAACTAGGGGTACAGTAATTGTCAGTAGGCTGAGTGTGGGTTTCAGAACTCTTCGGGTTCAGCTAAATGCGGGGCACCCCTGTGTGCCGGGTACTGGAAACAGAGATGGAAGTCACATTCCCTACTCTCAGCCCTGGTTGTCTACTGGGAGAGAGAAACAATGAAACAGATTGTTAAGGTTGTCTACTGGGAGAGAGAAACAATGAAACATTGTTAAAAATACAAAGTTTTAAGGATGCTATGGGGAGGATCGCAGGGAGCCCTGTGAGCAAAGAGGACCAAGGAGAGTCAAGGAATAAAAAGAAGCACCATCAGCAGCCGACGTGGATCGAGACGTGTCTGGGACAGACCAAGACCACTGCTAGGGCACGGTGGGGTTCCGTAGTAGAACTCTCACTTTACACACAAGAGACACAGTTTAATTCCCTAACCACCTGCCACGCAGGAGACACATTTCAAGTCCCTAACCACCTCAAGGGCAAGCACCGCACGCCTGCCAGTGGAGGCTACACCGGTGTAGTGAGGTTCCCAGACCCTCATCAACAGTCACCATCTCAGGAGTGCACGGGACAAGACTACTCTTTGGCTGAGTTGGAATTGAATCCGTGGCAGTGAGTGTTTTGTGTTTAGAGCATGGAGCAGGAGACCCTGGATAGGGGCAACCTTTAACACGGTTGGCTACTACCAAAAGATTGGAATCCATCAAGAGGAGCCTCAAAGGAGAGTCCTGGAGATCGACTTCTGAAAACCGAGCTACCGAAAACCCTACTGTGGAGCACAGTTCTACTCTGACACACATGGGGCGCTGTGAGGCAGCGTCGACAACGTGGCACCTTTTTAACATGGAGCAATGAATGGCTTTCCCCACTGGGCTCCGAGATCCACAACAGGGCAGAGACCAAGTCTATACAGCTATCAGGGCACCTGCTGTGCAAGGGGAGAATTGCCCTGTAGGTTTCTGAGATTGTAACTCTTTATGAGAGTAGAAAACCTCAGCTCTCTCCTTCGATGCATCTGATGAGTTCAAACCACTGACCTTAAGGTTGGCCTAATGCCCCCAGGGCTCCTTTGCTCCATGTTAGATGAGTCTATGGAAGGGAAAGCTGTTTCTCTGTATTTAGGACTGTCTGTGTGGGAATGAGGAGCCCTGACTTGTGTTGTCAGTTAAGCACTAGACAACCACAAGGTTGGCCATTCGAATTCACCAGTTGCTCCAAGGGAGAAAGAGGACACTGTCCACCCCTGTCAAGATTGACAGTCTCAGATTCCTTGGATAGGGTCACTGTGAAGTGGAATCGATTATGTACAAGGCTCCCTCCATGGTGGCCCTGTGGGGTAAGTATCGGGCTGCTTAACCACAGGGCCCCTGATTTAAAAGGCGAGCCTCAGAAACCCTGTAGAAGGCCTCTCTGAGTCTGAATCAACTCCTTGGCAGGGAGTGTGGATTTCTGGATGTGGTACTGACCCTGACCTGATCACTTCGCCTTCAGTAACTTTCAGATCAGCAGTTCTCAACCTGTGGGTCGCAACCCTTTTGGGGGTCGAACAACCCTTTCACAGGGGTTGCTCAATTCATAACAGTAGCAAAATTTCAGTTATGAAGTAGCAACGAAAATAATTTTACGGTTGGGGGTCACCACAACACAAGGAACTGTATTAAAGGGTCGAGGCATTAGGAAGGTTGAGAACCACTGTTTCAGATCATCACAAACTTGCCTGAGCCTCACGCACCCCATCAGGGAAGGCGGGGATACCGATGATTGGGGGGATTGAGCGAGAGACAGGCCATGTGTGTCTGGCACACAGAAGCCACTTAGTGATTATAACACCCCTTTCCCTCTTACAGCTGCCCATGGGCCACAGGGCCTCCCTCTGACCTGGTACAGACCTACAGAGTGTTGAAGCCACAGCTGTGGCCCTGAGTCTCTTCTTTCCTAAGAGGAAAGGGGACCTCATGCAGGATGAGGGTGAGGAGCGTGGGCCATGGAGTCAGATGAGATTCAAGTGCTAGCTCAGACTCTGGTAAGCCCCTTCCCTGCCTGCAGCCTCAGCCCCCTTCGCTGCAAGGCAAACAAGGGAGGGGAGGATGCCTCCGTGAAGGGGGGGGGGGTCAGCACAGGCTCCGCCTGCATCTCCCAGCTGCCCCCCATCTGGCCGCCTTCCAGGCCTTGCTCAGCCTGTCTCTGCCCCTCTTACAGGGACCTTGAGTTTGAGTGCCAGGCTGATATGCTGTTAGTAGGGGCCCTCAGCGGACATTCACTCAGCCTGCCCTCCCCTGGCCCCATGGCCCCTCGCACCCGCACAGCCTTCACCCAGCCTGGCCTCCTTGCTCCGATTCCTGCTGTTACTGAGCCCCACTCTCCCTCATTAGCCCGAACCTGGGCCTCCTCTCCGTCTTGGCAGGAGACTTGCCCAGAGTAGTAGACGTGATGAACACTGGGTGGAGGGAGAGGAGAAGGATGCATAGACAGGCGGTGGAACCAGGAGGCCCCACAGTGGACACACTTGAGGAAGAATCTCCCTTTTAAAGTGCCAGTTTCCTAACACAGCCATAGGTGTAGGGCAAAGTCAGGGCATCTGTCTACCCCAACCCCACCCCCAGGCACCAGGGTTTGGGTGATGCTGTGGTAAGGAGGGTGCTCTTCCATCTCCACAACACCCCTCTTCCCAGAGCTGATGGGTGGCTGCCTGTGATTGTGTGTAGCTTCCCAGCCCGTCGCAGATAATCCCTCCTCCTGTGTCCACAACGGGGCAGGCAGCACAGCCCACACGGCAGGGATGCAGGGACTACCAACCGGCTCATAATTAGGATGGAACACAGTCCTGAGCCACTAATAAAACCTCAGGGGGCTGGTGGCAGTTGCCATGGCAGCAGGGCTTAGAGGGTGGTCACAAAAAGGCTGGGACTGGGGAGTTACACCGCCACTTTACAAAGGTGGACGGTGCCCATAAGCAAGGCTCTGTGACCAGCTTTGATCAATGTCCCCCAATTAGGCCATAGTGTGCGCACGCGTAGGAGAGGCACACTCACTTATTTGTAACCCTGACTCTACCCCCTAATTGCCTGACACTGCTGTGCCTCAGTCTCTCCCTCAGTGAAGTGGGGGTGACTATGACAGTACCTGCCCGGTAGGATGGCTGGGGAATTCACTGAGGTCATTCGTGTCTGGCACAGAATAAGTGTTCAATGTGATTACGAGCCAGCAGAGCAGCGGGGGGTAGGGGGGGCGACTTTGAAGGTTCCTCCGGCCCACTGACACGCAGGTGTTGTGCATATTGTCTGTGACTGCTTCCTAGTGGTAGTGGGGCTGCTAACTGCAGGGCCAGGGGTGCAAACACACTAGCTGCTCCCTGGAAGAAAGAGGCAGCAGTTCTGCTCCATCCTCCATGGCTTCAGACAACTAGAACTGACTCGGTGACAGTGGGCTTGTGCCCACGAAGCCAACAATACTTGCTTTCCAACCCTGTATAGAAAATGTTCACCACCCTGTGGTCTCACCCCACCCCAGTAGGGAGTGTGCAGCCCGGAGAAAGGAAGGGACTGGCTGAGGCCACCTGGCCAGTCAGCATCTAGACCAGCTGGAGCCAAGGCTATGCCTGTGACCCTGGGGCTCCCAGGGAACTGTCCCCTGAGCACATTATTTGGACACAAGAAGGGTGGGACATGCCAATCCTGAGTTCTTACTCTGGGACAGACACTTCAGACGCACAGCCCTGGCTTAGGTCGGCTGCTGTGCCCAGAAGGATGGGCCAGGGAAGGATGGTGGTGCTCCCTGTCTCTCAAGCAAGGGTGTTGAGGCTCAGGGTAGGGACAGGGCTTGTCCTCGGCCACCCAGCTGGAACAGAGCAGGGTCAGGATCGATAGTCTGAGGTGTTCCCTGAGAATGACAACATCCTTCAGATGGCACTCCTTTGAGCGAAGCACAAACACTCCTCAGAAGGTAGTGTATGCCTTACATTCTGTTCTTCCTGTCTCCCCTGCGTGGATAAGGAGCTGGAGTTGTCCGTTCCATAATTGCTCAAGCTCCTAGTGAGCAGGCCAGTGTGACAACCATGACTCCCCCAAGGGGCACCCCTTCTTCCCCACTTCCTCCCCTCCCTCCATTTCTCCTTCTTCCTGCTCTTCCCTTCCTTCTCCCCCCCCCCAATTATATTTTATCCAAGTTTAATTGTCGAGTTGTTAGCTGCCATCCGCTTCCACTGGTGACACCACGTACAGCAGGGGAGCCACTGCCCAGTCCTGCGCCCTCTTGGCAGGGGTGCTCTGCCCACTGCTGCCATCACTGGGCTTTTGTGTACTTTCCACCTGAGAGGGCTCATCTTCCAGCACTGTGCCCCATAATATTCTGGGGTCACCCATAGAGTTTTTATTGGCTGGTTTTCAAAAGAGATCACCAAGCTTCTTCCTAGTGGTTGTTAGTCTAAAGCTGCCCACATGGTGGACCCTGCTGCTGTCTGACATGGCTGCGTAGCTGCCAGCAACATGCAGACAAGCCAGCACACCGTCTCAAGTGGATGTGTCCGTGTGCTTCCACAAGCAGGTGCCATCTTCTAACTACAGCCTGGATCGAGATCGAGACCACTCTCAGGTCCTGCCATCACCCCTCACCCCCTGCCACAGGTCCCTGTCCCTGCCTTCTCAGGCACTCCCCACCCAGCCCGGGCCACCACTGGCCTGGTTTCTGTCACTTTCCGTGAGTGTCTTGTCTGTTCTGACACATGGTATAAAGGCGGTCCAGCCGCGTGTGCGCTTGCGTGTTTGGCTCCTTTCTCACGGCCTGTTTTGAGGTTCAGATGGAACAGAGCAGGGTCGGGATCGACAGCCGTTGAGGGTAAAGTCGTTCCTCAGACTTGACTCCTTTGGTCTAAGCAGGAATTCCTAAGCAGGGAGCTGTTGTGTTATCTGCAGTTTGTTCCTTTTGATTTCTGAAGTCATATTCCATTGTGTGCCAGTGTGGTCATCTCTGCACCTCTCAGACCTTTGGGAGGTGCAGAGGCTAGTTTGGGCCTCTTGCAAATACAGTGGCTGTTCACACTCTAGGAGACCCTCTGTGAGTATGAGCATTTATCCCTAGGAGGGGGATTGTGAGGGAGGGGCTCAGGTTTTAATCCAGTGCGGTTTGACGTGGGGTAGGTGCTGCCACTGTGGGCAGGC